GGTGTCAAACTCAAACTCACACGGGGCCGAAATGAAACTCTGGGACGGAGTCGAGGGCCAAACTTAATATTTTTGAAAAAGTGACGGCAAATTTGCACATTTTATTTATCAACATGTATGCAATTTTGAACCTTTAAATGTGGAAACAAACTTATTCCTGCATTAACACTGAATGTGGAATAACCAAATTACACACGAGCAAGTCAGTTTTAAATAAAAGGCATCAGTGGTATTCATTACTTGTGGTATAATCAGCATTTTTAAAATCTATATAGGATTTATGTTTTCTTGTTTATTCATTTTTCTTATTTTTATTCTCCTTTTTTTCTCCTGTAATAAGTGTCATCGCTGCTGTGACGTCTAGCTTTCCCCACTGAGGAACAATAAAGGGATTTTCTATTCTATTCATCTATCTGCAGCCTTTCCACTTCCTGTTTACTGTAGGTTAAATCTTTTCTCACGGGCCAACAACAAAATAAAAATATCAGTTTATCTTAAATGAAAATGCAACATCTCACCTGTTAACTTTCATGCTTTGAAGCAGAAAAAGAGCAGAAAACCAACATATTTAAAGCTCAGTTTGCTCCACTGGTTTACTGTGATGCTCACCTGTTCCAGCCAGATACCTGCATCATGGGGTTGATCTGAGCTGAGGAGGAGACTCCTGTTGTTTTGTTCATCTTCATCATAATAATGACAACATTAGATGACAACAGGTGCTCACATAGGTTTGTGCTGATGAACATGTCTGAGCAGCTTGACCACGTTGTTGTGTGTCGGGGAGGAAACACAACGACAGCAGCCACAGAGTCGTGCTGGTTTGAGCGTGTCGCTGTTCGCTGGAGTTATATCAGCTCTGTCTGGAAGTTAGTTGGAAAACTTTCTCTTTCATTCGTGAACACATTACTGAGCGGCTAGAATCTCCGTTTCTGGACTTCAACATCAGAAAATAGCTGAGTGAACTTGGCGCTGAGTGAGAGGAGTGTTTAGTTTGTCCAAGACAGCGGAGCTGCAGGCGCCGGAAAAAACACAAAGGAGGGGGCGCGTCGGCTCCGCGCTGACGCCGCAAAGCATCATGGGAGTTGAAGTTGTTGCGGTAAAATCGGCCAGCGGGCCAGTTTTAATATATTTTTGATATTTATCTCGCGGGCCACAAAAAAATGCTCCGCTGGCCGCATCTGGCCCGCAGGCCTTGTGTCTGACATATGTGACCTAGAGGCAGAAAAATGGCTTAGGACTTTTAAGACCCTCCCCCTGCTTCGTTGATACAGCTGGAAGCAACGCCTCTCTTTGGTGAACTTTTACAATCATTATTCTCGTGTTAAGCTGTTTATTCAAAGAGTTGACAGAATTGTCAATGAGAAATGTTGCCTACTCTGCATCGGTTCAACATTGAGGTGAACGCGGTGATCCTTCCGCCGTTGAAAAGCAGGTCAAAGGTAAAGTCTTTGCAGGTTTTTGAGACACTTTTGATGAGTTTGGTTAGCGGGAACTGGGCAGTCGTTGAATTTCCATTTGTTGTGGCTGAGAAGGTGGTGGCTGTTGTTCCGTGATTCGCCGTGTCTTCACAGCTTTGGAAACAAATAGAAAATATCAATCTAGTAATTCCTTAAGCTTGTGATTGACATGTGAGCGGCTGTAGAGCGCTACTAGCCAAGAAACGGTCAGCTCTATGGATTTCTAAAAAAATCATACATAATTCCTGAAAGGGAGAAGACTCCAGATAGCAGTTTGAAGTGGGTGAATGTTTTTCTTATTATAATCAGTCACTCTCAGGCTGAACATGAATATTCTCCTTCATTAGCTTCTGATAGAAAATAGATGGTCTAGGATTTGAAAATCCTGACAGATCTACAGTCCATCACTCTGTCATTTTACATTCGTGGACTCACCCATCTTGATTCATGACGGGGAAGGCTGTTGTTGGTTTAGCGTCCAGAAAACAGCAGAGAACGTCTCAATTAGTTTAAGTTAGCCATTAGCATTAGCAACTCCTTCAAACTTGTGTTAATCGTGGATATAAAACATCACCGCTGCAAGTCAGTGGTAGAGTCGCGTTGCTGTTATCCAATCTGAGGTGAGATTTCCAACGTTAAGAAACATCAGGTCTGAGAAATGTTGCACCGCTCACCCCCATGAGAACAACTTAAAAAGCATTCACTTCTATTAACTCATTCGCTGCCAGCCGTTTCCTGGTCAGTAAAGTCCTTCGCTGCCAGCGTTTCTCACAGTTTTTACTGTTTTTTTTAAGAGTCACAGAACGTTGCGCGCTAGGAAGATGTCGACGCTAAAACAACCAAAACAAAGCGGAGACTCACCTCTTACATCAGGAAGAATCCGCATGTTTCGAACGTTATCCATTCTCTCATAATCCGTTGTTGAATTTAGATCGGCAGAAGCTTTTCCGGTTCGCGTCTCACCTTTTTTACAGCAGCTGCCGAAAACGATCTAACACATGGATTTTCTGCTTCCTGACCACGTGACGTGTGACGTATGCGGATGAAGATCGGCTTTAGAGCGGAGATGTTTGTTCTCACGGTGCGGGGACTCGTTCTGACGCCCACACAGTAAAAACATGCAAATGACGACTTTAGTCATCACTGGCACGGTTGGATTTAAAATGGCGACTTTAGTCGTCACTGGCACGGTTGGATTTAAAATGACGACTTTAGTCGTCACTGGCACGGTTGGATTTAAAATGGCGACTTTAGTCGTCACTGGCACGGTTGGATTTAAAATGACGACTTTAGTCGTCACTGGCACGGTTGGATTTAAAATGACGACTTTAGTCGTCACTGGCACGGTTGGATTTAAAATGACGACTTTAGTCGTCACTGGCACGGTTGGATTTAAAATGGCGACTTTAGTCGTCACTGGCACGGTTGGATTTAAAATGACGACTTTAGTCGTCACTGGCACGGTTGGATTTAAAATGGTGACTTTATAGTCGTCACTGGCACGGTTGGATTTAAAATGGTGACTTTAGTCGTCACTGGCACGGTTGGATTTAAAATGGCGACTTTAGTCGTCACTGGCACGGTTGGATTTAAAATGGCGACTTTAGTCGTCACTGGCACGGTTGGATTTAAAATGACGACTTTAGTCGTCACTGGCACGGTTGGATTTAAAATGGTGACTTTATAGTCGTCACTGGCACGGTTGGATTTAAAATGACGACTTTAGTCGTCACTGGCACGGTTGGATTTAAAATGGTGACTTTAGTCGTCACTGGCACGGTTGGATTTAAAATGGCGACTTTAGTCGTCACTGGCACGGTTGGATTTAAAATGGTGACTTTATAGTCGTCACTGGCACGGTTGGATTTAAAATGACGACTTTAGTCGTCACTGGCACGGTTGGATTTAAAATGGTGACTTTAGTCGTCACTGGCACGGTTGGATTTAAAATGGTGACTTTAGTCGTCACTGGCACGGTTGGATTTAAAATGGCGACTTTAGTCGTCACTGGCACGGTTGGATTTAAAATGACGACTTTAGTCGTCACTGGCACGGTTGGATTTAAAATGACGACTTTAGTCGTCACTGGCACGGTTGGATTTAAAATGACGACTTTAGTCGTCACTGGCACGGTTGGATTTAAAATGACGACTTTAGTCGTCACTGGCACGGTTGGATTTAAAATGGTGACTTTAGTCGTCACTGGCACGGTTGGATTTAAAATGGCGACTTTAGTCGTCACTGGCACGGTTGGATTTAAAATGGTGACTTTAGTCGTCACTGGCACGGTTGGATTTAAAATGGCGACTTTAGTCGTCACTGGCACGGTTGGATTTAAAATGGCGACTTTAGTCGTCACTGGCACGGTTGGATTTAAAATGACGACTTTAGTCGTCACTGGCACGGTTGGATTTAAAATGGTGACTTTATAGTCGTCACTGGCACGGTTGGATTTAAAATGGTGACTTTAGTCGTCACTGGCACGGTTGGATTTAAAATGGCGAATTTAGTCGTCACTGGCACGGTTGGATTTAAAATGACGACTTTAGTCGTCACTGGCACGGTTGGATTTAAAATGGCGACTTTATAGTCGTCAATGGCAGTGAATGAGTTAAAGTGAATCACTCCTTTAAAAGGAAATCTGCCTGATTGCCGTTTGTAAATATGGATGCTCCTGATTTTTTGGGAATAAAAAAAATGCTACAGTAGAGAATTAGTTGCTCAAATATTTTAATGAGCTGGACTGTTGGCAGCATATCAAGAACATGTAGCATAGAAACCTACTTTAACAGTTGGCTGCAAATACGTTTTTATGTACTAGTTCAAAAAGCTCCTCCGCTCTTGAGTGAGTCAGTGTGTCCCGCACTGGTTTTCAGTTTAGAGGTGAATGAGTGACATCACATCATCTGCAGACATGGCACAGAGGTTGATGTAAACGGTTTTACATGTACTCCGGTTACGCCACAGCTGTGCACCATGTGTCCTACATCCAGACTGCAATGTGCAAGCGGGTATGAGCTTGTTTCTCCTCTGCAACGTGTGGAAGAGTCTGTGACTGAGTAAATTAGCTGTTTAAAGTCTTAAATACTTCAAAAACATCTAATCAAATTCTCACTCTTGCCTTACCTAACTTACTGTATAGAGGTGTGGGGCAATAACTATAAAAGTTAATTAAATTCCGTCTTCATGCTCCAAAAACGGGCCGTAAGAATTATCCATGAGGTAAGATTTAATGATCACACAAATAACTTATTTCTGCTTTGTAAACACTTAAAATTCTTTGATATGGTGGACTTTTACACTTCACAATTATTATACAAATTCAGTAAAGGTACACTTCCTTTAAATATGTGTTTTTGTTGTCACGCCGTACTTCGTTTGGTCGACATTGTCTCATTTGCAGCTGCTTCCTCTTTAGTAGCTAGCTACCACTAAGCATCGAATAATTCAGCTTATTCGATTACAGATCTAAAAAACTCAACTTTCAATGTATGAACAGTAAATGACCTAAAACCAGATTTTGATGCAAGCATGACTTTTCTGGAAGCATCTACTGAGATATACCTTTTTATGTTTTAGGCCCTTGAACAAGAGTGGTGCTCGTTCATGCAAGTAGGGATTAGGAGAGAAAGCATGCAAATGTCTGGATTTATCCAGCGAGAGGGCTATTATGCTGTGATAATGAGTATTTTGGGGGGGGAAACGGGTCTCAGACCACTACTGGGCCCTTCATCTTGCCATTCTTTGTCAATGTCGCTCCCATCTGTCTTCCAGACTCTTTCTTATCCTTTATTGCTTGTGTGTATACATAAGTTTTCTATAGCCAGTCTGGATGTCGGATATTTTAATGATATCGAGCAGAGTTTCATGTCCTTGTTAGCTTGGTTCTCCTCATTTGCCGTGTCATACTCCTTTTTATGTGCAAACGCACACGCGTGCACCTCCTCGCACAGCCACACACCTAGATTCCTTCTGCAAACACGCGTTCACACAAACGGCGCAGTCATTAAAAATGAAACCACAAGCTTTTTTGAAAACTCCAAGGACTGAAGGAAAAGTCAGCGGCGCAGCGGTGAAAAGAGTCCCCCTGGAAACAATGAGAAGAATGATCATTTGTTGTTCTTGAAAACCCGGTGAGGTTTCACAGAGGTTAAGCTTCCCTTTGATGTGTTTTTAACTCGTCTCAGCTCTGTGGAGGGATTAGTCAGCCACTCACACACACACACACACACACACACACACACACACATGAGCGCATGCCAGCTCCTAGTTTCCACATCATGAGTTCTCTCACAAAGATGGAAAGCACAGAACAGACTCCTTCCTAACCTAATTTCATCAAATGAGCATGTGTGGCGCTCCGCTCCTGCATGTGTGGTCCCTTGGAAATGTGTGGTAAACCAGCGAAATTTTGCAAGTCAGTATTTTCTTTTTATCCCAAATTAGCGTTTGGCTGTTTGTGAACA